TGGTTTACTTTGGATTTGTTGACAAGAAGTAAAATACAGAACAACACCTGCAGCTTCTCCCCCTGACTGGGAAAGAAGCAGAAACAAGTAAACACCTGGAGAAGCAGGATCCCTCTAGAGGGGGATGTTTGGCCTTTTTCCTCTGCTGCTGTCTAATAAAACTCATTTTTCTCTAGATGAGGCAGAAGGTTTGTGTTTAAAGTGAGACCAACAAAGAGTCGGGACGTCCACTCGTTTGTTCCTTTGCTCTTCTTTTTTCTAAATAAATAGACTGACCGATGCTTTTGCTTCCCTGCAGAACGACATCACTCCGCTGCACGTGGCGTCCAAACGCGGGAACAGCAACATGGTGCGGCTGCTGCTGGAGAGAGGAGCCAAGATCGACGCTCGCACAAAAGTATGAACGCACCGAAGCTGCTTTTATTGACAGTTTGTTGATGTGTAGTTGTTATTTAAAGAAGTGCCGTCGTCTGTTTGGCTCTGCGGGTTGAGCTGATGCTTTAGCGACTTATTGTTTTACTGTCAACTTATTATTTTTCTTTTTCTTTTGGTCCGTCTGTCTTTGGACCTGCTGTTGCTTTTCTTTATCTTTTTCCCACTTTTTGTTGTCTTTATGGGCTTTTGCTGATTTTCTTTGTTCAATATTTCGTGACTTTTGGGCTGTGAAAGGTGCTAAATAATTAAACTTTACTTATTTACTTAGAAGTTTAACACGCACGGGTCTAAATAACAGCTGACGTCTGGATTGTTTTGTGATTTTTACTCACTGTAGGCTTATTTTTCACAACAAGAAAGTCTTCTGTGCAGAATGAGGCAGTTATGATGCCGCAGAGCTCAATTTCTTAGATTATTTCTTTCACAAAACTAAATTGAAACATGAAGTGTCTCCAGGTGTTACCGACGCTGAATAAAATGTGCCTCTACATGCTATAAACAGGCTAATTGACTGAGTTATTTACATTCCTACAACGTCTACAAAGTGTTTTTCTCTCTACTCTGCACGTCAGCACTAGTAAGATGTTTCACTAATGCTGAATGTATCTTCCAACAACGTCCTGTTTATGAGCCATGCTGCGATTGTTTCATTGATCCAGCATGTTTTATTGTCCTCTTGGTCTGAAATTGTCCAATATTATCGACGAACTTGTCCGAATTGTCCGCAGAATTGGTCCAAAGTAACAAAAAAATGTCAGAAATTATACAGGAGTTCAAATGTACTTGAAAGTAGCTCAAAAATGTCTATAAAATTGCCTTTTTAAGCAACATTTCAGTCATTTCTGACAAGTTTTAAGCCACATTTCAGTCTCTACACATCAGTTCCACCATGCTGAATGTATCCTCCAACAACTTGCTCCTCTGGTCACTGTTTCTGAACTGTGCTGCTTTTATTTCATTGATCCAGGATGTTTTATTGTCCGAAATTATTTGAAACTTGTCCAAAATAAGACAAAATTTGCCAAAAATACCAAAAAATGTCCAAAAATGAAACAGGAATTGTTCAAATAAACACAAAAACAGTTCAAACGTACTTGAAAGTAGCTCAAAAATATCTATAAAATTGCCTTTTTAAGCAACATTTGAGTCATTATGGTTAGTTTGAGTCATTTCTGACACGTTTTGAGCCACATTTCAGTCTCTGCTCATCAGCTGTGGAAAGATGTTTCACCATGCTGGATGTATCTTCCAACAACTTGCAGTTTTTAAACCATGCTGCATTTATTTTATTGCTCAATTATGATTTATTTTGCTTTCGGTCTCTGTTATCATCTCTTATCTGCTCCATGCAAACACTGCCTGCAGTTCAGCTGAATAGTCACTGAATTTTTGTCATGCAGCTGAGTCACTTCTGGGGTTTTAGTTGCATTGAGGATCATAGAAGTTTTGTTTGTTTTTTTTACAGAATCTGGTGAAAATTTTCAAATGAAATGAACACTAAAGTTATTTTTTTGAATTAAATATCCTGATTTTATGCTTAAGTTTGCCCGTTTTTGGTGACATAACACCGTTGAAAATCTGACAATTCTCTTTATCTTCACCCGTTTCTGGCTCTAATGAATGGTTTCATTTTGGCAGATTTTAAAACAAGCGTGCCTTTCAACCTCACTGGCAGGTTTTGGGGTTCACAGAGTTGAAGCATGCCGTCATTTATCTTCCAGTACAAGTACATACAGTGCAGATATTGTATCATCACCCTTCAGGGTCTAAATCAGATCAGCTCGGTCTTAAGTTTGCCCACCATGTGATTTTTATCTGAGGGGATTTTCTCAACCTTTAAACATAGCTCCACATTATCCTAATCCTCCCAGAGCTGTGACGCATCGCCTCCAGCGTCGTATCTGCTGCTCGGAGGAACCGTTGGTGGTGATGAAGCTGAACATGAGCTGTTTGTTTTCAACAGGACGGCCTGACTCCTCTGCACTGTGGAGCTCGGAGTGGCCACGAGCAGGTGGTGGAGATGCTGCTGGACCGAGGAGCTCCGATACTGTCCAAGACCAAGGTATACCTTCAGCACATGTGGGGCCTTCTACTTCCTGTTTGGCCTCATCATTGTTTTCTTCACCAACACATCCACAGATTGGCGCTAAGAAAATGGTGCAAAAATGGACATGACCCCACTATCTTTAGGAATTTTTAACTCAAAATCACATGGTCAACTCATTCACCACTTAGAAAATAATCTGTCAAGTTGAAGATGTTCAATGACCAACCAGGAAGTTGCAGCCATGTTTACTTGTGACCTCACGTCTTTCTTCTTCTGTGGTTGCAGAACGGTCTGTCTCCCCTCCACATGGCGACGCAGGGCGACCACCTGAACTGCGTCCAGCTGCTGCTTCACCACGAGGTTCCCGTGGACGACGTGACCAACGACTACCTGACGGCGCTGCACGTCGCCGCCCACTGCGGACACTACAAGGTGGCCAAGGTCATCGTGGACAAGAAGGCCAATCCCAACGCCAAGGCGCTGGTGAGGACGGAGACGGTCAATTCTCTGAGACAGACTCCCCAGTCAGTGTTAAAAACAAGAAAAAGTGACGAAAAGGGTAAAATGGAAGGGAAGGACAGGAAGAGCTACAGTAGCAGAATGAGACATGACAACGATTAGACTGTGATTGGGGCTCTTTTCAACCAAAGAAAACCTTGTTCAAGTTGTGCATTCTCCTCAACCAATCGATTAGTTGCAAGGAAAGAAAATCAGCATGTTATGTGTAGATGAACTTACTGGGCCACAGTACACTGAGTTCATTCTACCTGCAGCATTATTAACCTAAATTCATTCTGAAGCAGCATAAGAAGCTCGTATTAGCAGCAAAAGTTGGTCTTACAGTAAGACTTTGGTGATGTTCAGACTTTAAAGTAACACCATCATCAGGTCAACATTTTAATCTGTTCCAAACTGTGATTTGGAGTTGTGGTGAGCCAGCAAACATCTTGCTCAACTTAAATTGTAGCTACTCTTTAAGGACACAAGGAAAAAAACGTATCCGTAGAGCTAAATGTTCCACAGCACCCTGAGAGTGCGCTAACTGCTAGCCCTGTTAGCCTAAATTAATTCTGAATCTACATCAAAAAGACAATATTTGCAGTATGTAAATCAGTTGAACTGCTTTTATATGAAACTATAAGAACAATGGTTGTTAAGCAGTTGTTTGTTGGGGTGTTGCAGGTTCAATGCCAAAACCAGGAATGTGGTTGGTCATAGAAGTTTTTGGCATCAGTACAAATCTGTTGTCATAGAGAAATGTGAAAAATATCAACAAGAGCAGCTTCAAATAAAAGCGGTTCTCCTGGGATATATTAATATTTTCCAAGTTTGTCTCAACATTTGTCTACTGGCCTCATGTCATAAAGTCTCATACAATTCTCTGTCACGGTGCTCCTTTGCCAGTTTACCTTCTCTGGTTTCTACAGTATTTAGTAGTACGAGGCTCCACCTGGTGGCACAAGCAGGTACTACAGCTACTCTGCAACACTTGGATTGTGTGTTATCCAGGGAAATGGAGTCGGATATCTGTAAAAGATACATTTTAAATGACTCGGATTGGGAGCAAAAACAGGAAACAAAACACTTGATTGGGACTTGCCGTAAGAAAAACATTTTGCTTTTGTCCCACACTGCAAAGCAAAAGAAAGCCAGATTTAATTACTTTTACACATTAGCAATGATAATTAATTGCCAAATTTATTGCAGAGCTCCTAGAAGACAGAAGGAGTACATTTCATTTATGTTTTATTCACACTTGAGTCACGCTTTACGAGTTATGGAAATGTACTAGATCCGACCTCGTAAGTACTTTAAACACGAGAACAGCATGTTAAACTCCCGGCACGTTCGTTTTACGAGGTGCGTGATTGAAAGGGGATTTAAATAGTTGAATTTCAGCAGAGACTCGAGCTGAAGCTGCAGCGTCGCTGTCAGGCCTTGATGACTTCATTACCCAACCTTCTCTGCCTTCCTTTTCTTCTTCGCCTTCCCGAATTAGCGCAAACATTGTGTTTACAAAAAGAGACTTTAAATTAGCTCAGGAGAGAGAACATGAAGGGAATTAGCGGAGGCAGCAGACGAGGAGAATAAATGAGACTTTATAACCTCAGCTGCTATCTTGGCATAAGACAAGCATCTCGGCTCTGTAATGGGAGAAGTCGGGGTGTGGTTAGAGCTCTGGGAGTTTATAGCCAGAGAGAATGAGGAGGAAAAAAAAGAAAAAGCACATGGAGAGGAAAATGAAGTCATAGGACTGAGCCAGAAACCTCAAAGCCAGGAGAGTGAACGAGGCAGGGAGGGGGCAGAGTGTATAAGTTGGCGAGAGAAAAGTGAGCTGTAAAGAAAAGTATCTATTTCAGTGCAGCGTAGTTTTTTATTTTTTTTTATAGCGACTCGATTATTTCCACACATGCTCGCCTGGTTTGCATGCAAAGAGAGAGAGGGGGGAACGAAGGGAAAAAAAACTTGCCCCTTTGTACTGTATTTTCCATTTGGTGCTCCAGGTTCCGCCAGCGTCTGCGAGCCACACACAAAGACTTTCTGGGACTATTTTTGCACTTTTGAACGTGTTTGTTTTCTGTGTCTTAGAATGGTTTCACTCCGCTGCACATCGCCTGCAAGAAAAACCGAGTCAAGGTGATGGAGCTGCTTCTGAAGCATGGAGCGTCTATACAGGCAGTCACAGAGGTAGGAGGGTGTGTTTGTGTGCATGATCCACAGTTGCATGACCTACATCTGTTCACAGACTCGCGTTTCAGTGAACAAACTCGATTCCTGCACACATGCATCACCTCCGCACTGATTTATTTACGAAGTTCCAGCACAAAGGAGACCAAACAACTGGTGTGCATGTTTCCTTCTGCTCATTTGACAAAAAGCCTGTCAACATAAAGCAAATTAAACCACATTTTAGGTCAAACATTTGTTCCAAGCGCAGGTTTGTTTACGGTTTCGTTATGGTTAAGCGTAACAGACGCCTGTGTTAGTCCACGTGTCTCAGTGGAGCGCTAAGACATCAGCTGTGTTTTGTGTTTTTATGGTGAAAAATGCAGAATTTAAAGTGTTTAGAGTGCCTATGAAAATATTCAAACTCCTTGGAATTGTCTCCTTTAAGTGCTTTATAAGATTGAATCATGTAAATCATGTCATGTCAAGTAAATCTGTGTAGAGCAGGCCGTCCTCAAAACTGAGTGGCCACCAAGACACCTAAGACTCATCTGAGGGGGGTTACAGGAAAGAGACGAGTGAGGGAGGCCACCAGGTCACCTGTGACTCATCTGAAGGAGTTACAAGAAAGAGACTAGTGAGGGAGGTTACCAAGTCACCTATGAGTCCTCTGAAGGAGTTATAAGAAGGAGACAAGTCAGGAGGCCACCAGGTCACCTATGAATTACAAAAAAACACCAGTGATGGAAACCACTGAAACACCTATGAGTTACCAGAGAGAAGGGCACCAAGACACCTATTCATCCTTTAAAGGAGTAACAAGGTGTATTTAATGGGAACTGTTTCCACATAGTGGTTCATACACCTCGTAATCACATCACAGGATCAACAGCGTCCAGACTGATGTGTTTTTAAATGGTTTGTGGACAGCAGTGGAGCTCAGTGGCACAAAGGAAAAACATACACCAGGATTATAATTCACAGACTACTTATCATCGATTTATCGCTTGGTTTTGGTGTTTTTATGGGGTTTGTGTTGGTAGGAAAACCAGAAACGCACAACTCATCTTTTGACAATCTGAACAGGCCACCATTCAGTTAGTGGGCAACATTGTTTTTATAGACCGTATAACGAAGGGACTGAATTGGGTTTGTTGGTTTTGTCAGTATGTGACGCTGTAACCATTTAATAAACTGTAGAACCTCTTGTCTTTGTCTTTGTGTCTCGCTCTTCAGTCCGGTCTGACGCCGATCCACGTCGCAGCGTTTATGGGCCACGACAACATCGTCCACCAGCTAATCAATCACGGAGCTTCACCGAACACAAGCAATGTGGTGAGTTCAGGAAGTTTCTCATTCTGGTTTCTTCTTCTTCTTGTTCTTCTAAAGTGAGAAGCATTCAGTCACAAAGGGTGGCGATGCACAAAAACACCAGCTACATTATACATGGGGAGACTTTTCTTTTAAGAATTCTAAGGACTGTGTTGCGTAGAGCTCATTTGCATAAACAAGACTTTAACTTTATAGTCAGGGCATTTTATGAGATTTTTCACAAATCTGCCAACTAAATCGTTACCAAACAATTTCTTCACCAATGTTGAAGTTCAACTCTCGTGGGAAAACCTGAAAAAAACCTGCTCAAGTTAGGGTACCGATAAACGATTGACGAAAAATCTAATTTATTTTTTTTAGTTGGCAGATGTTGATATTTTTCCCGTACTTCCCGCAAAACAAAGATGGACAGACTGAAGTCATTCAAGCTTTTCTTCCCCCTGAATAATCCCAGTTTTTTCCAAATACAGTTGGAGGAGATTGTGGAACATCCAGTCCTTGACATCAGCCAGAAAGTCATGTAACAGCACTAACTTGTGCTGAGACTGAATCTCTGGCTGACATATATATGTATTTTTTTCTTCATCATGTTTCCGTCTTTCTCTTTGTCTCTTCAGTCTCTGTTTTCCTTCCTTACTCTGGTCTGGTTTTGTCTGCGTCAACCAGTAAGAGGCAATGTATTGCAACAAATGAAAACATCAGAGGTGTGTGGAGTGATGAGAAAACTGTAATGTTGAAGGCTGCTCGTGTTCGTTTGGTAGCCGACCATCAGCTTGATGATCAGTTGGTCCTTGAGAACAGATAAAGCATGTATTCTCTGTTAACTTTTTTTCGTCTTTTAAAGGGTTATTGTTACGCCGGCATGTGTCTGCAGCTTGGACAGCACTCTTTTCTCACATAACATAAAACTTAGAAGTTTGGCTGCAAAGTTATAGAAGTATCTGTAAAAATGTTCATCCCAACAGTACTTCAATGCAATAACAAATTTATTCTTTATAAAGTTCTTTCTGTCAGTCATGCCAGTGTTGGATGGTGGCACATGAGGCTTAGTCAGAGTCTACTGAATGGTACAGCAGCCAGTTTCCGCCACTGGTGGAAGCAGCTGGACGTCACGTTGGGCGGCGTATTCGACCATGTTGGGGAGTCCTTAGACCACGCAGCAGCTCAGGGCACTTCGGGCGATGTCCATGTCATGGACCTCAGACCACTCGTTCGTGGTGATGTCATATGACAGGTGGGGGTGATGCCGTGGAAACCCCCGACGACAAAGAGCCGTCCGTCTAGGACTTCGATGCCACAGGTGTTACGTGAGGTCCTCATGGGGGCCACCTCCATCCAGCTGTTGGTTAGTGGGTCGTAGGCCTCGGTACTGCACAGACGGCTGTTGCCATCAAAGCCACCAACCTGTGAGAGGACAAGTAAAGTAATGGGGAGAGTGTTTAAATGTACAGAGCTCAGCGCGCAATGTGTCTTTGAGTTAAAACAAGAAGGTAAAATAAGGTAGAGGGCAAACAGATGACGTCCTCAGTCAATTCAACAAACAGATAAAAATCCATAAGAATTGTTTTCCTGAGGTGGTAGCCAGGATATAAATCAGATTTTTTTATACAAGCTTAATGCTGGCAGCCCCAGCATCAGTCTTACGAGTTTAAAATCCCTGCTGATGAAAGCTTTCACACATTATGGATGTGATTCATATGATCCCCAGGTGTCGGCAGTGACTCATGTACTTACTGCAAAGACTCGATTTGCATATGCAGCGACTCCGACTCCAGATGGTCATGGGAGCAATCACTGTCCACTGGTCAACCTCTGGGATGTACCATTCCGCTCGTTCCCATTGAATCCCCCACAAATGTAGATGTGAAAGATGAAAGGAGGCACATTAAGTGACATCTCCTGACCTTTACAAGAAATATGTCAACTGAACTCCAATAGAAACAACAAGTGAAGAATTTAATGGACCAAAACATAAATTGGACATATTAGTTAAATGGTTGACGTTGATCTGCTTACCTTATTACTAAAAGGTTACAACAAATAAGTCATTTTACAATTAAAGCTTAATTTTTCAGTAAAATGTCCCGGTTATCATGATTACTCGTCAAACTATACAAACAAAGAGGAATCCTTGAATATTGGTCAATCTGCATTACCAGATGTCTTAATTTTCAGAAACTAAAATGTATTTAGGCCTCAAAAATCCAATTTTGTTTGCTCTATTAAATTGAAAAGAATCTTAATATTGGGTTTGACAATTTATTTACTCTCCTCTTCAAGTTGTGTTTTAACTATTTAAAATGTACATCAGCTAGTTGATTTTGTGCTTTTGGTTCGGCCAGCAGAGGTGCAACTACTACCGTGCATATTATAAATATTTCATGCAATGAAATGTTTAACATGTCGGCCTTTCTTTTATACCATCCTCACCAGAGAGAACATCATAAATTCTTCTGAGACAGACTGATCAAGAGATCTAGACACCACCTTCTTTCTGGTCTTGCTAAGTCAGACCGTTCTGTAGTCCAGAACGGTCTGACAAAACTGAACAAATCTGTAAAATAAAACTACGGTTTGTTTTGTTTTTTTGGGTTTTTTTTTTTAAAGGTATTTTTGGGGGCTTTTCTGCCTTTAATGGTAGTTGACAGTGAAAGAGTGACAGAGAAACATGGGGGGGAGAAGAGTGGGGAAAGGACATGCAGCAAATGAGCTGCTGGCTGGAATCGAACTGCAGCCGCTGCGTCGGGGACCATAGCCCCTGTCCACGGGTCGCTTCCCCAACCTGTTGAGCTATCTGGGCGCTCATTTTGTGTTTTTTGTTGTGTCTTTTTTTACAGCGTCCACCAGAAATCCAAACCCATTGTCATGTTGCTCAGTAGCTTAACTTACTTTATTTAACAGTGTTTTTCTGTTCTTGCATTGGTGCTTAACTTAAACACTCTGCAAAGTGACTTCATGCTGCCACTCCTCGCAGTAATTCCTCCACAAACGCCTGATTGGTGCAGACGGCAGTGAAAACATCTGTAGGAGGAGAGGAGGCCCGCTGCTCCATGTGTTGGAGGATGTCATGTTCTGGTCTCGTTCTGCCGAGGAGCAAACAAAGAGCGGAGATAGACGTTGGAAGGAGGTGGCAGAGAGGAGTCGAGTAAACAGAGGAGAGGGGGGGAGAAAGAGGGGAAAGAGTGCAGCACAGTCAACTCTTCAACCCCAAAGTATTTGGTCGCCCACGCCGAGTCTGTGGCCAGGTTACCGTAGAAACGGAGCATTATGGGACGTCATTATGGTGAGATGGGTGTGGAGAGCGAAGGGGGTCCCTCTTCTGTCTTCGCCTTTCTTCCTCTTTCTTTTTCTGTCTCAGGAAACACAGCGTTTTCTGCACCGGTCCTGTGTGCTTCCATGCGGGGGATTTTGACTTTGGAATAAGCTTCAGCTCCTGTTTGTTGTTTCTTCACTGCAGAGGGGGGAGACGGCGCTCCACATGGCAGCGAGGGCGGGACAGTCCAACGTGGTCCGATATCTGGTCCAGAACGGAGCTCGGGTCGATGCCAAGGCCAAGGTACGCCGTCGCCGTGAATGCCCCGTGATTTATACCTGTGTGTGTCTATTTTTAGTCATTGAATGTGAGTCCTGAGCGTGCGCTTGTGTTGTCTCACGTGTCTAATTACAGAGGAATTAGACAGTGCTGAGTCATTCAAACCAGATTCTGCCTCTGAGGAGAAGAAACTTTAGTTTTTCTTTCCTACATGGCAGTGAAAGCCGAATATGTTGCTCTCGTTGGAGCTTTACAGCAAACTTTAGCTCATTGTTTCGCTGTTCAGGCTTCAAATGGGCTGTTTCAGGTCACTGTCGCTGCAACAGGCAGCTGTGAAAAAGGAAAAAAAAAAAGGCCCAAAAACCCACTTTATGGTGCCTTCAAACAGCAGACAGGCACAGCTGGCAGTAAGCAGGTGAACAGAATGCAGCAGGAGTTGGTGGAGACCAAGAACAGCTAAAAACAAGCTAAACAGAGTTAGTGATGGTGGAACTAGCTTGATCCATGCAATATTGGCACAAACCTGGTCCTTTGTTTACATCCGCTGTCTCACGGGTGTCGCGACTTTGAACTCTTTTCTGAACAAGTGCAACATCAATTGCAGTTTCAGGTCTTACGGGCTGGACTGTTGCACATGCCCCTGTGGTGTAAATACACCGTCCTGGTTTATCCCAGTTTGATTTAACATGCATGTGCCGGCTGGAGGTCATTAAAGATCACAGAAGACTTTGTCATGGTTCCCCTTTACTAGCCAAATCCCTGCTATGCTCTCTGCTTGCAAAACTGCTCACCTCCTCTGGTTGCTACAAGACTGAACAGTATTAAACCGTAAGCTGCTCCACCTGGTGGCCCAAATAGGTACTACGGCTGATTTACAAAAACTAACGTGGCCTCATTCTCAATAGAGGCGGTCCGACTAATTTATTGTTCCAGTTACAGGAACGTTGGATTAAGCTGCTTGTTTGTGTCCTCGGTGCACAACTAGCACCAGGATACTATTATTTAACCAAGTCAAACCCAATCACTGCTTCCCAAACACCTCCCCTGAACATCTTGCGTCATTAAACTAACATTTTTTTGCCCGTTTCTCTTATTGTTTTTCTTTTTGTTTTTGTGTTCCAGGACGACCAGACTCCGCTGCACATCTCCAGCCGTCTCGGTAAACCCGACATCGTGCACCAGCTGCTGGCTAACGGAGCGTATCCGGACGCCACCACCAGCTCCGGATACACTCCGTTACACCTGGCGGCTCGCGAGGGGCACCGAGACATCGCTGCTGCGCTGCTGGACCAAGGAGCCAGTCTGGGCATCACGACCAAGGTGAAGGAGAAACTTTAATGCCGACTGGTTGAGCACACAGATGCACTCGAACACATGTTCCGCTCCCCACAATGAAGCCTTATGACTGAGAATAATAAGGAGTTTGTATAGAGCGGCGTGTTGCTGCCGGTGTTCTGTTGTTCTGCTCCTTCGGAAAATACTAATGCATGATGGCTGCAGGCCCGTTATAACATTTGGACCCACTGGAGTCAAACGATCGCTGCAGCGTGCCAGTGGAAGAGTTGGGTCATAATGTTTGGACAAAACAAGAGTCTAGAAAACAGTGTTGCTGGAGGAGCTGCTGTGTTCTGCAGGTCGGGCTCCGTTTTCCTCGACGTATTGCTCAGTTCAAAGCGTCTATTTAAGCTGTAATGGTGCGTTTTATGGCCACGGATTGAAGAAAAAGCCTCCGGTTCCAGGTGATTTCTCACATGTCTGGATGGCCAAAAAAAAAAGGTTGTAACAGACTCCTCTAGTTGCTTTGATATTTAATCTTTTCACGCTGTTTTTATGTGACGTACTGAATTCACAACTGTTGAGTGGACTGTAATGAATTAATGGGAAAAAAATAGGCAAGAAAAACTTCTAAATTACTCTATTTTAAAGCTTAAAATTCAGTTTCTGCAAAAAAAAAAAAGGGTCTCGTAAAGTCTTGAATGTAATTCACAAAAGCCTAAATCTACTTTTTAAGGCTTGCATGTTAGAAAATGTTATCATATGTGCCTGCAGGCTGTTGGGAGACATCATAACCTATAACTCAAAGTCAAGCCTCATTGACTCATAATTGCTCATCTGTTGTTTGACCAAAAGCTTTGAGTTTTTTTTGGTATTATATTGATTTTATCATCAGAAATTATTGCTATAGTCTGCTGGGAAATGCTCCAGGCCAAATTGTTCTTTCATTCTTTCATCTTGTGGAGGTTAGGATGGTAAAAGAAACACGATAACGTCCAATATATGTGCTATTAAAAGGTTTTTAAAGGTCTCAACTGAGTGAGTTCCTGAACTTAGCGTCCCATCAAGTCAGACGAAGCACAAATTTGTTGTAATCATCAGCCTTTATTTAAACGTGAGGCTTTATTTACAGCGCAGAAGAGCAAAGACGTAGATAAACAAAAGATTATAGGCATATAAATGGAAGAAAACCGAAGTAAAATGAGCTTTAAAGTGTTAAAAAGGCAAATTAGTAGAATAATAATCCTGTTAAGACCAATTAAGGTTTAAGACAAGTTAAAACCAGCTAATAAAGAACAGTTAAGGCAACGTTAAAACAACTAAATTAAATTATTCTGCAGGTCATTCCAGTTTACAGGATGCACAGCAGTAGAACTGGATTTTCAAAGTAAGAGCTCTGTGACTCTTTCAACATTTGTGTAATTCTAAGCAGACATTAACATAATCCTCAATCACATATTTGATTTTATCTGCGTTTAGACCTCGTTATCTAACTAATCATCCGTACTCAGCCCACTGAGCAGTGTTCTTCGATGCCTCCACAGATTCGTGCCGTTGAGCTTTACTTGCAAAACGCTCCCAGATCTGGACCCGAACTACGGTCTGTGTTCCCTCACGGCTGAAGAATCTGTTGCAACTCGCGTCAAACCTCCACCCTGAGCGCTCGTGTTTTATCATTTTTAAGCACCACGTAATGGGTTCTCCATGTTGTCATGACAAAACCCTGCAAATGACTCACGGTCGAGTGATTAAACACACATGTGGAGCAGCCGTGGACGGAGGATGAGAGCAGCTATTGACTGCTGCGCTTTTTAAAAAAAAACAAAAAACATGTATTTATTGATTTTTTACTTTTAAGGCATTTAACACAAGACATTCTGAATATGTATAATAACATTTGGAAATGAAGAAATATGTCAAAACTGAAATTAATAAGTCAAACAAAGCATAGAAAGATTGTTGATTCATACCAACAACATCTCCCAGATGCTGTGAAAAATCAGAAGCTTCAGTGATCTGCTCAGGAACCAACCCTTCAGCCAGAAGCCAAGAGAGCAGCAACTAACGCTCTAACAGCATTTTTTTTTAGACAAATAGCAGCGGATTATTGCTAAATATACACAGTTTAGGACTCCGAGGTGTTGGAGAAGAGGTGATCTGAGACTTTAATCTTCACAAAATGTTCTGGTCTTCTTAGATTTCCAAAAGCAGTGACACAAAAGGCCTTGATGTGGAGCAGTGGAGCTACGTTTATGTGACTGTGTGGTGGTGACGTGTGCTCTCTTTATCTAATTATACTGGATTAATCTCAGTCAAGTGTTACTGGCCTTATTGCTTTCCATTCAGCTGCAGTGTTTTCAGTCGTAGTCACACACACACCTCATGCCTTTTTATTGAATTTTGTGTAACATTCTGCTTTGTTGTGTTTTTTTCTGTTTCTCCAGAAGGGCTTCACTCCTTTGCATGTTGCAGCAAAATACGGGAAGCTGGAAGTCGCCAACCTGCTGCTGCAGAAGAACGCTCCGCCTGATGCTGCCGGGAAGGTAAACACATGTTGAATTACATTAAAAAAAACATATAAATAACGTGCACAACGTCACCGCGGCTCTGTAGCTTCCTCACAGTTCACCTCTTCACTCCACTGAATGTGCAGTAGATGAGTCTAACCTGTGTGTGTTCAGAGTGGACTAACTCCACTGCACGTGGCGGCGCACTACGATAACCAGAAGGTGGCGCTGCTGCTGCTCAACCAGGGAGCCTCGCCGCACGCCGCCGCCAAGGTAAGAGTCGACGCGGGTTCGATACGAGCGTTGCTCCAATGCACCGATGCACCAAAGTGTTTGGCTCGAGGTGAAAGAAGCCTGACCTACTTTCATTCAGCCACATGCAGTTTTACACCGACAGCATCTCCAACAGAAGAGCCGACAGAATAAACCAGGCAGGCAGTCACTGGACAGAAATCCTTTTTTTTTTGCACGTCAAGAGGTTTGCAATAGTCCAAAAAAATAACAGGAGGAAAATGTAGAGAACTGGGTTGGAAGGTACTGCTGAAAGTAGTGTTATATCACAGCGATAAAACTTGCAAAATGACGTATAAAAGCATCAATCTGATGTAAAATCAACTGTGTTTGCATCAGTTAAGTGACATAATCTGCATCTCTTTCTTCTCTGCATTGAATTACTTCTTCCTGCAGCCTGATGAGCCTAAACTGATTCTAAATCAACATAAAAACTATGATTTGCAGCATATTAAACCATATAAAGCTGGTTGTTTTCTACTGAAATGTTAAGAGCAGACTGGAAGCAAAGCAGCTGCACACACATTCACTTCATTTGTGAAAATATATCAGCTGGTGATGGAAGTACAAGGACGACTGAGGAATAGCTCGACTTATAGAGAAAAAGCAGAAACACTGCAGACTTCTGTGACCTGGTGTCAGTTAGTTTGGAGACGAGTTTGCGTTCGCTAAACGTTAAATAATTCTGACGTAGCAGTTTACAGTCGGTCAGGTCAGTTCAAAGTTGTGAAAACGTTGGGTTGTTTTGTTCTTCTGCCACCACAACAATGAATTAATCCTGGATGACGATTGGTTGGTTTAGAGCTTTTCTGTTAATTAAAGCACCAGAATTTGTCCGACTAATGAGAGTCTGGTCAAATGAGAGCGCATCGACCAACAAATCAACCTGAAGACTGCAGTCTATAAAATATCTCTTCATTTGAGTGAAGTTTTGCAGGTTTGGTTTCTGTGCAAACATCATTAAAGAAAATTGGAAAGCAAATAATTTTGCACAAACACATCTTACTTTCTTAGTTTTAAATTCCAGTGTTCTTGGACTAAGAACGTAAAACAATAATTCTAGGAAATAGTCCAACTCTGAGTACGCCGTCATGCCACTGTTGTATTTGTCTGTTAAATATGAAACAAGTAGCAGCTGGTTAGCTTGGCTTAGCTTGGTTAGCATGAAGCCTCGAAGCAGCACTGTATGTTTGTTTATGGTTGTTATCCTTCAGTTTCTGTACTGATAAAACCAAAATTATGTGTCATTTTCTGGAGCTTTGGAGGTGCAAGTCAGTGTATTTTGTTAGCTTCCCCCTGTTTCCAGTCTTTATGCTAAGCTAAGCTAATTGTCTTCTGACTTAGCACCCAAATATGAGCGTCGTATTGATCTTTTCATCCAGTCCTCTGCCAGGAAGCAAGTAAATGTTTCCCAAATCGTCCAACTATCGCGTTAAACAGTATAATGACACAGTTTGTTATTTTATGGAGTGCTGGGGGTGCAGGTTAGCGTATTTGGTTAGCTTCGGATAGAGCTAGGCTAGCTGTTTTCCCTGATACCAGTCTTTATGCTAAGCTAAGCTAATCGTCATCTGGTTTAACACCAAATATGAGCGTCGTATTGATCTTTCTATCCAGTTCTCTCCCGGGAAGCAAGTAAATGTTTCCCAAATAGTCCAACTGTCGCGTTAAACAGTATAATGACACCGTATGTTATTTTGTACTCATTCTAGTGTCAAATTAGAAGCTTTAAAATGGTGTCTCAAACCATTTTCCCACTGTACAACAAGTTTCTATTGCATTTTTATTATAAATGCATTTGTTGGACACACTGCGTCGTGGTGCTACTTTGCTGGAATTGGACGCGAGAATCGGTTCTATTTCGATTCGGTTGCGTGTGAGTGGATAATCTTGGTAATCTGCCGATAATCTCTTCTTCAGAACGGTTACACGCCGCTGCACATCGCGGCCAAGAAGAACCAGATGGAGATCACGACCACGCTGCTGGAGTACGGCGCCTCCACCAACACGGTGACCCGGCAGGGCATCACGCCGCTGCACCTGGCGGCGCAGGAGGGCAACGTGGACATCGTGACGCTGCTGCTGGCCCGAGACGCTCCCATCAACACGGGCAACAAGGTGACCAAAAAAAACGCCTTCTTTTTATTTAGTGTTTGGATCTCTTTAAATGTGTGTTTAACAGCCGGAGTCTTCATTTTGATGACAGAAATGACAGTTTTCATCCAAAACGTTTATTTCTTTCAGTTTTCTGTCCCTTGTGATTTCCGATCCTGCTCTCAACAGATGCATTTTGTTCCCTCTTAGTATTGTTTCTTGCAGCACTTTTGTCTCCCTCTGTGTTTATTTAAGTGCTTCTCAATCTGTATCCTCAGTCTGGTCTGACTCCGCTCCACTTGGCTGCCCAGGAGGATAAAGTCAACGTCGCCGAGGTTTTAGTCAACCAGGGAGCAACTATCGACCCCGAGACCAAGGTAATGACAGTGTCTTGTTGTTTTAGGGTTAAAAAATGGCAAATATTCACCTGATAAATGCTAGGATTTGTATCCGTTCGTCTTTTATCTCAGCATAGATTGAATATCTTTGGGGTTAAACTTGTCCCAGTATTTAAGAGTAGTCGAGTGCCGTATATGAGTGATGCATTTCCAGTTGTTGCCTCCATTATCACTGCCATTAGCATTAGCATTGTTAGCACCTCCATGGTGGTGACAGATCCAATAGGTCGAGTTCATTCAGTAGAACTCAGATGTTTTGGTTTCAGTGAATGCAACTATGTTGTCAGAGTGCAAGTGAAAGCAGCATTAGATGATCATAATGGCTAAGTGTAGCAGCAGTTCGTTGGTTGTGTGTCCAACAAGCAAACAAACATCTTAGAGACGGATGCACACACAGACCACTAAATGTTAATAGAAACTGAAGTTTCGGTGGTTGCTTCCGATAGGAGTCGGCATACCTGTGGCGTCAGACAGCGGTGGGGTCAATCTTAAGTGAAATGGGGATCATCTGAGTGCAGCGAATGTTCCCAAGTGATTGTAGT